TAAATCCACTGCTACTATTGCAAATCTGTCCCCAAAATTTAATTATCCAGGGCAGTGAATAACCCCGCCCAATCTGTGTTCTATCGCCTTCCAAAATAGCTGAGAATCAAGATGAGCTTCACAGCATGTCCAAAAAGGACTCATTAAGATATCAGAATTATCTCTGCACCAATGCAGGATAGTCCCTCCAATACATGTTCTAGTGCTTTGTACAATCCTTATAAAATATATTATAGGAAGCAATTGAGTATTAATAGAGGGACAGCTAGAATCTAGTCATTAGATGGCCCAACTTCTATGAGACTGCATTATGGAGAGTAACCTACTTCAATGGGAAAATGGAATAGCCATCCTCTGACTGCAGTATATTGAACAGAACAACAAAGCAAAGTATTTACAAATCCAGTACAAAATAAAATATGATGCTTTGGTATGTTACCCATGTAAAACCCCAAACAGCTGGAAAGGACCTGTTTGCTAACATATAATAACCACAAGTGAGTTTTCTGTTTATCATTTCTTCTCAACAGAAATATTTGCCTTCCAGAGTGTTTGAAAAGCCATTTGTATTGCAAACTGCTAAAGTAAAATGTTAACATCCTTCTACAGTGATCCACAGATGCAGAGCAGGATTTTATAATATTCCAGAAATTTTGAGTGATCATGAATATGGTGAGATTCTCAGCCTTGAAAATTCAAATTGGTTTTCCTTAATCCATAGAACAGCACCAGCAGTAGATGTGCAAGTTCACATGCTGCTCTGCCAATGTACCTTCACTCGGACCTGGTGGGATCACCTCTAGGCATTGTAGATTGGTTCAATCTCTATGATCAGTCACTGACCTCTCTGCTGAGGCTGCCAACAAAGATAAACCCAGCAAAGATGGCTTCAGTTGCTGCCCAGACCAATAGCATACAGGTGAAAGTCTCCATCACCCTGTGCCATCCACTCTCTGCAAACTAAGCAAATGCTAAGTGTGGGCCTTACCTGAAATCCCGGTTGGTAACAGGATATTTGTCAATAGCAAATGACTTCACTGTCACCGCCTCGAGAGGCCCTTCATTTTTACCATCGGGTGAATTTGTTCCCATTTGGAACTTCCCGCCAGGCAGTCGTACCATGTTTCCATCATCTTCAAAAACTAGGAGAGGTGTTGTGATCCAACAGAACATTAATTAGTAACAATAAAATCTTGGAGTGCGTACATTCTTTGCTAGAGGTATGTTTGCATGCTGGGGAAGAGGGATAATAGAGGGTTGATAATTATATCTAGCACTTAGTGCTTTATATCTTGAAAGTCCTTTGCACAGAGTAAGGACACTGAACTTATTCCTGGTGTAACTCCATGGAAATCAATGAAATTATCCCTGAGAAAAATTTAGTCCATTCACTAATTTTCTCTACTCTCCTAGGAGGTAAACAAATAAGTATTGTGGTCTCCATTTTACATCTGGAGTAACTGAGGCAGAAAGGCTTAGTGACTCACTCTAGGTCACACGGGATAAAGCAGCAGAGTTGGAATCTCTTTTCTTAATACACTACAGGACCACTGCTGCTAAAAATACTGATATCTGAAAGACAGCCCATCTGCATGGGGACAAATTAACCACATAAAGGAATCAGACTAGCGGCACAAAACGCCCTCCGCCCACCCAGCCTGGATCTGCCCTATGAAAGTCTTGTAAATGCACAAAGACTTTGTAAAGAGAGGTTTTATTGTGAAAGAATCATTAGAGAATCTACACTGCAAAGGGTTCACTGAAGACAACTGCAGCTCAATCCATTGCTTTAGATCAGACGCAGGGTTGGTTGATGGCAATTTATTAAGTGACATTCCTGAGTATCGCTTTGAGTTATGAGATTTGAGTATTCACTCCTGGCATCTGGTCTCGCTCATCAGTTTTTACATGCAAGATTTCAGGCCACCAGGGGAATCTCCTTTGAAAGTATTCAAGGTTTGTCACTTTTCACTTGCATCAAATGACCCAGGATTCACCAGGGAAACTCTGAAAGGAGTAACCCCTCCCCAGAGGGGCAAACCCAGGGTAAATACTGTGTTAACATATGTAGAAATGACTGTGCAAACCTTCAGAAAGGTAGAGAAGGGAAAAAATAGATCGGGGTGGGGAAGTTACCAGACATGTACAGCTAGGAAACAAATTTGGGGATGGGGACGGGAAGGGAAGATGAGTAGGAAGGGAATTCCCCTAGCTTCCCCAGCATCACAATAGTCATTGAGAATTAGGTACCAGTCTGACTGAGCAGCCACTGGACCACCCCAACAAACCTCAGTTCTAGAGCTGAACTTTATGGGGAATCCAGGAGGATTCTGTCTTCAGCTTGCACTTTAGCGCCAGTGAAGGCATGGAGTTCTCATCTAACTTTTCCAAAGGTTGGAGGTGCTGGTCTATTTTTACATTGCTCATTTCACCTAACTGTTGGAATAAGTTTAAGAGTTTGATCCTTGTTCCTTCAAAGGTATTTAAAAGGGAGCAGACAGGCCCTTTCTTCCTTGTTTTCACACAGTTGAGGATTCATTTTAAGGCAGTATTTCAAGTCTCTTTTGCAGGGAGGGAGGATTTTAGGGTTGGTGAGAGTCAGGGAAGACACTTCCTTGAAAGGAGTTCTGGTTAATGCAGCCCCTGACGGAAGGGGACTAAGTGGGGACAGGCAGCACTTATTAAGCTCTGCTGCAAGGAAAGAGTGTAAAGGGTAAAGGAGATGGAAAGGAAAGGTGGAGCAAGACATGCTTGGACACATGCACTCACCTTGCAGACTGTAGCTGCTCCCTAACACACAGGTGCTTAACAGGAGAGCCAGCTGCACTCTCCCAGCAGAGGAACACGGTGGCATTGGGGACAGGAACGGGAGATGAATTGGAGGAGGAGGTTGAAAGGCTACCCGTGACCCAGAAGGGCTGTGTACTGGGTTGAAATGCTTCCGGGATCTCCGGCTAGAAGGGAGGCCAGTCAAAGTTCTTCCCAGCACGAGTCCCCGCCTCCCCCTGCATGGAAACGAAAGCAGGGAAGTGATGAAAGGGGAGGAGTATGCGTACAAGCGGCAGCACAGAAGCTGGGTACTTAGCCCATGGAGTCAGTAGAGAGATGAGAGAGACGTTGCATTAAGTCGTATTTAAGCCATAACCAAAACCCAGCCCGTGCAGGATTGTTCCTGATGGTGCAGTAAATTAATGCACTAGCTATTTAATGGCAAAGAGGCAAAAGTCAGTCACTTTTGGCTGAAGCATTTTCCTTAAAATTGTTACCCAGAATACCTAAGATCCCTCTCATTTAAAGAGGGGAAAATATCTTATCCTTCTCCCTGCCTCCCCTCAAAAGCAAGCCTAAAACCAGAACCTATTTTGGGCACTTGACACCACTTTTCAGATGATCAGCTTTGTGATTTCTATTGTACAGGTATGCAGTTTGACTGCTTTGCATGGGTTATCATTACAACAAAGGAAATGTTTTTGATTTAAAAAAAAAGGCAGGGGATGTGATGGTGGGCTTCCATCGAGGCGGACGGTCATACAGAGGGTGTAGATGTTGGAACAGTTTTTCTTTTTTTTTTGGGGGGGGGAAAGGAAGGAAGGTGACTAGCCCTTATATTATGTACCTTTAAATGGGGAAAGCACTGGTGACCCTACCTGCCCCAGTCAAGAGGTGTTTAGATGGTGTTTCCACTTGCAGATAAGTCTTTATGGAGGAATATCTTGAATCTATTCTTACTGAAATATGTTGAGATTTTCTGCAGAGGAAATTTTGCAGTTTTAGAGCCTCTTTGTGAGCTCTTACACACACACAAGGATTACAGCAGCTTGCTTTTTAACTCAACTCTCCAAAGACTGATTCCTCAGGTAGTGATATATGACTGTAGTGTTATAAGATATTGTTTCAGGACTTTGCTTTTACTCAGTAGGCCTCATACTGTATTCCTTGTTCACCCATGCTCCATGTTTTGGGACATTTGGGTGCGCAAGGAATTATCAGGCCAATGCCCATATTCAGAAAAAAACAAATGTAGTAGTAAAAAAAATATATACTAAGATAGTAGAATGGAGAAATCAGTAAGCATGGCTAGAGTTGAGAGAAGTTCAAAATTTCTTGATCACTGTTACAACAAAAAGGCATGCAAGACTGAAGCTAGAAATTTTGTAATGTGGAAAATACAAGAGACATTACCAGTGGTAGGTTCCAGTGATATCAGGAAACCATAACCCAACTAGTTGTTCATATACTTGAAGTTTTGATGGAATTGTAGCTGGGTCTGGTTCAAGGTTTGACTATTGTCAAACAGTTCCTGTCCATCCCTCCCCCTAAAGTCCTCAAGCTGCTGCTAAAGCAGCTTGTGTCATTGGTGAATTCACATCTGAATTACCAGATTCTGCCAATAAAATCAAAACAATACTCTAGGAACTCACCAGCAAGTTTGTGGATTATTTTAAAATCACACTGGATTGCAGATCACCATTATACATTGCTAATTAAATTAGAAGGAAGGATTATGCCTATAAATATGTATAGCTTTCCATGTATAGATCTCATATCACTTTACAAATGAAGGTTCTGTTTCCCTATCTACAAAGTGTGCGTAGGGTAAACTGATGCATAGAGGTGACATAATTGCGGTAAATCAGCACCATATCTAGGAAAAGAATCCAGGTCTGACTCCCACCCAGTCCAGTGTTCCACACAAAATATTGCCTCCCCGACAACTAAAGGTATTCTTCACAAACCCTGTGGAGACTCGCCACCCCAGCAAATCTTTCAAACTACAAAGTTTGGTGCAATCCAATCTGCATGAGTATGTGAGCCACAGAAAGTCATCCCTGCCTGGGGTATTCTAAGCAATATCCAGAAAGGTGGTGTACAGATGAGTGAATTCTGAGAAGAGACATTTCCTCCCAGTTGACAATTACATAACTACATTGACCTGTCCCAGAAAATTAGCCATCCCAACCAAAACACATGTTAAGTAACTGATAACATTACAAGATAAGCACAGAACAGAACTGTTTATTGGGTAAAAAGACTAAGTTGTACATTTCAGTGCAATTAAGAAAAAAAATAAATAACTGATTTTAGAAGCTAATATTTGAGAGTGGCCATGTTTACTCCAAAGAGAGAGCTACTTCTGTTACTGTGAAGATCCATTGGAAGCTGCAGAAAATAATGCCTTTAGCTGGTATTTTTTTTTTTTTTGAAGTTACTTCATAGGGGCATCTCCCTATTCAAGGCTACCATCACAGTTGAGGGCAGATTCAATTCAACCTTTGAGAGATGACATTCCAGCTCGCATAATTTCATCAACCAAAAGAATGTTGCTAGCGATCACCGTGCTAGAAAGATCAAAACATTGATGGTCAAAACTTCTGTATTATTCTACAGTTCATCCAAACCAGAGTACCAAATGCATGCATCTCCCCGCTCAGTCCCTACCTCATACACACCCACTCCATAGATTATGGAGTTTTGTTTAAAAACTCATATACCAGCTGTTGAAATGTCATTCTGTAAGTTCTTAAAAACCAATCTGGGGCTTATTTAAGAAGTTTCATTTCTCTATGGAGGACAGAGGTGAAACAGCTAAAAATGACTAGTCATTTTTATATAACTATTGTACTCATGTGTTTTTATTTCTACACTGCATCTTTAGATAGTAAAGATTAACCCATCCCATATAAATCCATCAAATTTGACCATTAGCAATGGAAGCCTATTTTAGTTTAAAATTACAACAAAAAATTTACCACGAATGAAGTAGTTGTTTTTTGACATTATAATTATCCCAAATTCCAGCTGCTGCCGGCACCATTGGTTCACCTGGGAATACAAAATAAATCCCCTTGAAGGCAATGGATACGTTTTAGCATTTTATTAATGTAGTTCAAAATCTTGTTACAGAAAGTAGGAAATCACAAGATATTAACATTCCTTTCCTCCCCCCCCCGAACATAACATAAGAACGGCCATCCTGGGTCAGACCAAAGGTCCATCTAGCCCAGTATCCTGTCTTCAGACAGTGGCCAATGCCAGATGCAGAGGGAATGAACACAACAGGTAATCATAAGTGATCCATCCAGTTGGCCATTCCCAGCTACTGGCAAAACAACATTTGCTGCTGCCACCAAGAGGCAAACCAGAGTATCTCCTACTTCATACTAAACGCTGGCCTTCACCTTTGTGTGCCCATATGTTACAATGAAAAATACATTTTGTAAATGAGTCTGTCTGAGCCTCCAAATTGGGAATAATGGCTAACCAAGTCAGTTAATTCTCTTGCATAAAGCTATATTGAAGTTAAGTATTATTCATCATGAGTGAAGAGGTATTCTTCTAGTAATCTAATCAACTAAAGAAGCTGCTGATTGAAAAACCATCAGGTCTTACAAGTCCGCTAGTCCTGAAACATCTTTGGAAGCTCAAGCATTTTATGCTGTACATAAAAAAAAAGCTCTATTTCCCTCAACAGAAACAGCATCACTTTGCTGGCTCGAAGTGAAAATTATTTAACCCCAGTTGTCTAAAGAACATATTTTAAAGTTTCTTACCAGTGTTCAGATCAACTCCAATAAGTTGTCCTGATTCTGCATATTCGGCCAGAACTTTCACTAGTGTTTCCTGGGGGTCATAGCCAGAGTTCTGAGCAAGAACCTGGGGGGGAGGGAGGGGAGAGCATGTTTTATGTATTGAACTTAAGCCATGAAACAATCTACAGACAGTGCATCATTAACTGTTAGTCTCTACCATATCTCCCAACACATCCCCCTGCCCGTATAACTCAGACAAAAATGAGGAAGGATATACATCGGGGTGGGCTAACTCTTTGGCTTAAGTGCCACACCGGGTTTCCGAAATTGTATGGAGGGCCTGTTAGGGGAGGCTGTGCCTCCCCAAACAGCCAAGCGTGGCCTGGGCCCCGACACCCCCCCGCCCCATCCACCCCTCCCTGTTCCCTGACTGCCCCCGGACCTCCCACCCAACCCCTCCTCTCATTCCTGACTGCCCCCCAGGACTCCTGCCCCCATTCAACCCCCCTGTTCCCCTCCCCCATCCACACCCCCATCCCCAACCACCACCCCGAACTCCCCAGTCCTCTATCCAACCCCCCCTGCTCCCTGGAGCACTCGTGGCTGGCAGCACTACAGCTGTGCTGCCCAAAGCACCAGGACAGGCAGCTGTGCCGCCTGGCTGGAGCCAGACATGCCACTGCGCACCACAGAGCACCGGGTCAGGCCACAGCTCTGCAGCTGTGCTGCCTGGCAAGAGCTTGCAAGCCCACTGCCCAGAGCATTGTGCCAGTGGTGCAGTGAGCTGAGGCTGTGGGGGAACAGGGGGGGGGGGGGGCAGGGGCTAGCCTCCCGGGCCAGGAGCTCAGGAGCCAGGTGGGTCCCGCGGACCATAGTTTCCCCACCTCTGATATACATTCTTGTCTTCAGTTCAAGACATTTATTACTCATGTCTGTCCTCTGGCAAAAGGCTCTTCAGCGAAGTGGACTACTGCTAAGACATGTATAATTTTCTACATGTTATAACTGCTCTGAAACTATTACTTTAACCACGAGTACTTTTATACCTTAGGAATTATGAGCAGAGCATCAGCAAAGGCTTGAACTCCAAACTGGGCTCTTCCTTTTACATTGGGCTTATGTTTCACAAGAGCATCAGCTATTGCCACTTCTAATGCACCAGCTCCTGGAACTACACATCCTGTAAGAGATAACACACACTAGTGTACAGCCATATCAAACAAACAATTAGACAACATAAGTTAAGTTAGTGGTCATGAAGCTCCCACAGAGGCAAAGAGGTCAGTTAAGAGTTGCTGACTGTAATAAAGAGCTCCAAGCTCTTACTGGGTGGAAAGAAAGCTAGGAAGTTAAAACTAAAGCCTGTATGTTTCTACCATATTCACTAAAACATGCCTAGATATGGCCGGCTATCTAAAATATTGATAGCAGTTATGTTTTAGGCCAACTGTAGACATTTCAGCAAGACAGCAGAAGAACCAATAATATTCTACACAAGCCAAGATTAGTAGTATTACATGAAGTAATTTAAGTAAAGCACAAAGTCTACATGTAGTAAAAGGTTTTTACATTAACAGTTCAGTTCTCAGGTGTATTTTTAGTTAAACCATCTAGAGAGCCACTTTGTTTCACTATTTTTTCCTTCCCTCTTTGAAATGGAGTTTGGAATAGAAGAGAAGTAGCAATTTTGCAGTTTTCTTGGAATAAAACTCAAGTTTTTGTAACACCATACATATATACTAACTCAAGATATTTTAAACAGATTTCTGAACAAGTTATTGGTTCATTATTTCCACTGATAAGAAATGCTATTCTAATGAGACTTCCCAGCAGGAACTCCAGACTGATGATGCAGAGTAATAAACCTTTAGATGACTGGAGTGCAAGCCTTTCCTAGCCCTCCTCTATACTTTCAGAGGCACGTAGGGTACATATAGCTACACACAGCAGTGAAAAATAGGCCGCATCCACACTGCAATATGTAGCTACACCTGGCAGTGGGGTGGGGGTGGGGGGGGAAGAGGAGGGAGAGAGAAAGGAGGAGGAGGAGGAGGAGGAGAAGAAAGAGAGGGGACAGCAGCTGGGAGCTGCCAAAGTCTTTCATTGCAGCAGGAAAAACCTGCCAGAGCTTTTCCCCACTGCTGAAGCCTTTCACTGTTGCAGGGAAGTAGTGGGACACTACATGTCTACACTGTTTTAGCTATGGGAGGCACTGCGTGTAGAGATCCATGTAGGGTATATGATCTAGGGTTCTGGCAGGTCTCTACTCAGCCAAGCAGTGCTTCACGGTCTACACTGCTTTTTATACTTGTGCTAGCTGGGTGTGCAGTGTCTGTACTCTACATGCTGCCGCAAATGTGGGCATACACCTTGCAACTATGGGTATGTATTTTTTATTCTCCCCACTTCCACAAGCATTGACTTTAATTAGATCTAAAGTTTTAATAGTTTTCCCTGTAGTGATTAGAGCATTTTGTACTAACGGAGTTTTCCAGCAACTTTAACTGCAGCACTTAACTTACTGTTAACATTTAATAATACTTATTCCCTTTCTTGGAGAAAGGCAACACAAGGTTATTAATTTTGTCACCTAACATGTAACTGAAGTTACAATAACTGACCAAATGTGTGTGTCCATCTTTCCTATATACCCACTTTAAAAATAGCAAGGCACTGGGAACACTTCAAGTAGAAGTGTGCTTTAGCACAGTGTCCGTATAAACTACTAACAAAAGCTAACAATTTATCCATACTACTCAACAGAAAAATACAGGCACATAGATGTGCATTGGCAGGTATATTTTGCACATTTCAAGATGTGCCTCATAAGACCTCATTAAATGTAATAAAACCACCAGGAGACTTACCATCCTCAATAGCGTTTTTGACAGCACGTAGCCCATCTCTTACTGCATCCTTGATTTGCATGAGTGTATGTTTATTTGGCCCCCTGATCAACAGGGTAACAGAGCGAGGGTTGTCACATTTCTCAATGAAGGTAAACTTCTCTTCACCCTATATGCCAATAAGCAGCAAGTTTCTAATATCACATTTTTGCTTAACAAAAGCCCCACAGCATATCCATGTAAATCACTAAATGAAAAATATTTAACAAGAGTGCATCTGAGCTATTCAGATAATTAATTTTGTACTGGACCTTTCAGGAGGGGAGGAGAGATAGAAGGGGAGATGTTGGTCTCTTCATCTAGGCAAAATGTTTACACATGACATGACAAGGAGCAATGGGAAGAAGTTCCAGTGACTTTTTAGGAGACTTCCATTATTGCTCTCAAACTTCTAAATGAATTTTCATGGGCGCCTAAATGTAGGCAAAGACCTCCATATGTTTAGAAGTAGCAGAATCAACAAAGCCTGAACTGAAAAGATTGCTACAGATACCAGATAGGAGTCAGAGGAATATCTAATTTAGCCTTGGTTACAAACTCAAGGTCTTACGCACCAGTACATACTCGTAGACAAGACCAGCATGCCCCAAACAGTCAGCATTGATGTCATCCACAGAATTCATAGCCATACCACCACAAGCAAGGGTCAATCTGAAAAAGGATGTACATAACACTTAAAAGCATGTTACATTTTTTTTAAATAAACGTAAGTGAAAATAAGCTAGAGAATCTTAGTTGCCTGAATGGTCCTGAGTGAAGATGCTTTTCACACCATGCCATAAATTGTTGTAACATATAGGCTGGCCTCATTATTTATTTATGTATTTCAAGATATTAAGGATTGTTTATTCAGGTGATTATTTCCTAGTGTTCAAGTTTAACACATTTCAAGCCTCTTCTACACTACTCCGAGTTGAAAGCTTACTGCAAGCTTTAGTCTCGTGTCAGGATTCTCCATGATTTATACTGAACTGACAGTTTTTACTCCTGTACGAAGTGTATGTGCTTGCGCTAACAGGATATTTTACTTCAGTTTTGAAAGAAAATATACAATGAACTAAGAATGGATAGAGTGAAAGTTTGTAACGAAAATCTCTATTCTTTCCCCAAGAACTGACCTCTCCATGTTCCTCCTTTTTGCTCTGCGCAAAGCTACTATTCCTTCTTTTGCAAGTGCATCCAAGGAAAATGGGTCAATTCCCTATAAACAAACAGAGAGAAGTACACATTAGGAATAAATAAAAATAGATTCGGTCCAGCACTAAGTACCAAATTCTACTTCAGTATGAACTGAACCTAAGTGGGAGCTATGCCATGTATCTGAAAACACGCTGCTGACCAAGCCTGACTAAGGCTTGTCTGAAGAAGCCTATACACTTAACATAAAACAAAGCATCAGGCCAGTCAAAAATACCAACATTTTTAGATAATTTTTCCAGTTACCTTGTATTCTCATTTATCTCACCTTTTGATTGATCACAATAAATCCTTTATTTGAATCACCACAGACTCGCTTTTTCAAATCGATGATTTTGTTCACTCTGTCTTCAATGAATTTTCTTTCAGCTTTTACTAACTTCTCTCTTTCTTCTGCACTCTTATAAAAGAATCCCGAGCTCACCTCTCTGAATAGAAAAAGAAATTGTTCAACATTACTACTAGTGCTCTATAATGTTAAAATAGCAGAATCTTAAAATCAGAAGAGGACTTAACTTGTATGTTTCAGTTAAGACCTCAATTAGCTAAAATTATAGTACAGGACTAAGAAGTGTACAGTCCTTTTGAATACATGTAAAAGGAAAAGGATTCCTTCCAATGCAGAGGTAAAGCACAGAATTATTCTAGCACAGAGTTATGCCAAGGGAACTATGAAGTATACTTGGGTGTTCACTGTGCAATGTAAGACGTGTTGAAGGCATAGGGGAGACTTCCTGTCATTCAGTGAGCCAACAGAAGGGACTATTATGCTAATGTGTCCACAATCCAGCCCACCTCAAAAGCCAATTCATCACTCCACTACTCTGGAGTGAAACATTTGATTTCATTTCCTCCTTTTACACAAAACTAGGCTAGTTCAATTTTTTTTTAAATAAAGGGATATTCTAAAATATTTATTACTCTTAGTACTCTTAAAAGGTTTAAGACATATATGCAAATATTAATTCACATTGCCAGAGTCAGGTATATTTCTTCCCTTGTCTCACTGGTGACTACTTACGTTTTTTCATATTCTAGTGATACATTGCAAGTAAGGATGTAAGCATCTTCCACTCTTTTCTTCATGTCAGGATGACGAGCACCATGGTCCAAAACAAGTCCTCTAATCAGCCTGTAAAAAGTCAGTAAGATTATCTGTAAGAAATCCTTTATACACAGGGTAGGAAACTTCTGTTTCCCTGAAATGTAGTCATAAAACTAATACCATGGTTGATTAAACAGATTACTTACCATGCTGTCATATTAAGAATTCATTGGATCATGTATCCTACTTGTATGGACATGCCAACTTTACACAAAGCATACCATTAGGAATAAGTGAAAAGGAAATATACTCTAGCATAGCGTCTGACTGCATTAGCTACTGAAGAAGACAATGCAGAATTCATCCATGCCATTGAAGTTAAACATATCTACTTTTTTTTGTAATTTCAAAGAATTCTGAAGCATTATGATTCTCTTAAGATGTAATTCTGATAAGATTTTATACATCTTCACTTAAGACAAATTAGGAGCCACCCCGTGCGGCCAATATTGTAGAGTCACAAAAGGTGGAGACAACGAGGAGTGTGGTGGCACCTTAAAGACTAATAGATTTATTTGGGCATAAGCTTTCGTGGGTAAAAACCACTTCCTTCAGATGCAAAAGGTGGACTTCTTCAGGTGCAAAAGGTGGAGAGTTGGATTTCCGTTCACCTTCCATTTTTGATTAGTTACCTAAAACTTCCACTTCTTCTATACTGGAAGTGGACTTGCATTCCAAAAGAGATGGAATAGTTAAAAAGAAATGACACACTTCATGTTTTTCACACTAACAACTGTTTTAAAACAATCTTTGAAAGTTAACATTTATATACAGCAGATGTACCTAATGTACATTTTATACTTGAAATTAATCTGTAGTGATAATGATGTTCAAAAAAGTGTATCAGAACACTACAGTCAGATTCTCCAGCATAAAGGGACAAGATTTAGTCTCACTTGTGTCCAGTCCCTCCTGGCCTGTTAGAAGATTATCATAACAGGGATAAACTGAAAAATAGCCTTTTTTCTGTAATTTATTTTGTAATTCTGACAATACTTTGCTACTAATCAGTTTTGTAGTTTTCCCCTGCGTAGTCAGTTTCCTCTTTTCAAACAAAACAGGAGTAAGAAAAACAGGAAAATGCAATTGTAAATTGACAAAAATTGGCAAAGGGACTCAGAGGTGGCAGACTACCTAAAGTTATCTTCAACTGTTTTAAAGCAATTAAGTTTCAAGCTATGATTAACCTTGAAGTACAGAATGTATAACCAACATTTTATAGCTACCTACGCTGTTTCAGTTTCTGATTTGTGCTTCATCTCCATAATCTCAACCATGTAGAGGTCGATAGGCTCATCTGGTTTTCTGATCGCCAAAACAGCATCTACTACAGCCTGGAATAGAAGAGAATGCCTCCATAAAAAACAATGCATTCTTCAAAAAAAGCCATCCACCCAGTATTCCCCCAACTTTTGTACATTCCCACTCCTCCCCCAAATAGTTACAGAACAAGTTGAACACCTGGAGTTCCTGACATGAAAGGACAGTAAGGCAAGATGATAGACAACACATGCACACTTGCCTCTGTTAAGATATCAGCAAGTTCTGCATGAACTTTAGTACGCAGGGACGTTCTGGCAACATCCACAAGTGTCTCCCTGTCCATCTCCTTGGTTACTTTGACTTTCTCCAAAACTTCAAGTGCTTTTTCCTTTGCAGCTTCAAATCCTTCAGTGACTATTCTAGGGTGCAAGCCCTAATTTAAAAAAAAAGTTAACAGAAGGATGAGTGGACATTTTTTCCACACTTGAAAACTCCTATTTACTAGTTTTACTTGAAAAGCTGAGATTTGAAGTGTTATCTCCAAACTTCGGATACCACAAATATCCATGACTTTGGTGCTGTAAGACTGTAGTAAGTTAGAATTTGCATGCTACACTGGGAATTGGGGGGGGGGGGGGTTAAATGTACTGTCCTTCTGAATACATGTAAAAGGAAAGGCACTCCTTCTAATGCAGAGGAAAAGTACAGATTATTCTAGCACAGAGTTATAGCCAAGGGAACTACAAAGCACACTTGGGTGTTCACTGTGCAACATGAATTAATAAAGGTATCAACCTAAGTCTCCTGGCACATACACTGCCAGCAATGATTCCTTACTCTAGAAAGGTGCCTCTTGGTGTCATACAATTAAAAGACAAGAGCTTTAAATCCAAATAGAAATAAGTCAAAAACAAATGGTAGATACAAGATACATCCTGCATCCATCATAGGTGGTTTCAACCTGTAATAACACAACCCTGGCTAGTTTAACATCATCTGTTTTAGTTTTTACCCAATGTATTCACACAATAAAAGGTGTCTCATAATAAGGTCATTCTGGAAGAGCTGTAACACCTGAAGTTTCTTTTATGTACATGAAACATTAATTGCAATGATGCTGAACAGCCTCAAAGGAAAATGTTCACTCATTTTCTTATGAAAGTGAAAAATTCATACGTACCTCAGAAATATAGAGATCCGCCTGCTTCAGCAGCTCTCCAATGATCAGAACATTTGAAGTGGTACCATCTCCAGTGATGTCATCCTGTGCTGTTGCTACTTTTGCGATCAAGGAGGCTGTTGGGTGTTGTATTTGCTAAACAAAAACAAGACACAGAACAATAAATCTAATTGAATTGTTATGGGAGTAACTATCTGAAACCAATTTAACAATTATATCTGGCCAAAACTTACCTTTCATAATCAATAGAGCATCTGAATGATTTTGTTTTTATCAGTTTAATGTGACACCATCTAATTAAAGAATCACATTTAAAGACCAAGCTATAGTGGTCATAGGCTTTGCATAACTGGTTTTGACCAAAAAAGCAGTGAAAATAAAGAACCAAAGCATGGCACTCGTTTCTTCAAACATTAAGAAGTCCTTATCAGCCGAGTTATTCTAAAAGGACCATGTATACATGCCTAACAGAGACTTGGGGAAGAAGAAAAGGGACATTATTTTAAGAAGCAGCACAGAAAAGTTAACCTTAATGGAGTAGACGGAACATATAAGCATAGAATAGACAGCATTTAAAAGTATGATGTAAAGTACAACACAATGAAAGACTGCTGTAATAGTTCATTTACTGAGCATGTGGCAGGGAAACTACAATGTAGTTATGAATCTGTGTGTGGTGGAAACCAACACATGGACCACACCCACCATGCAGCCCAGTACATTTATTTTTTTAAGGTCACATCTGTACCTTCCTAGATTTGGCCTCAATTCTGCATGTACATCTGCCCAGAGCCCTACTGGTTGCAATAGAAATGCAGGCCTCTGCCTGATCAGATGCAAGACTGGGACTTTAGAGACATACCCGTGTTATGTGAACCAAAATAAATGTTGGGTCCACAACAGCTTATTTAAGAGTAACAGGCAGGATACTGCATGAAAGATCTAACCCTTTCTGAGGTCTGAGATATAACAGATCGGTCAACAACAAACCAATGAGGCAACAGATACATTTTGACTATGGAATTATTAGCTTTCCTTGATGGTTGCCAACGCATGAGATTGAGCGAACATCTGCCCAAACTACGCCTGCCTTCAGCCATTGTAGGAGAAGCCCCGTTCACCACCACCACTGCACACAGCTCCAGCCGTTCTGCTCGCCCCAGGGGGCCGGGGGAAAGGGCCGCACTCACCATTTCGTGAAGCAGCACGTTGCCATCTTTGGTCAGCTTGATCTCTCCAGCGCCAGACACCAGCCTGTGAGAGGGACAATGCAGAACGTCAGCGGCTGCGCAGCCCCGTCCCCCAGGGGCCTGCGCGTTGCCCACCCCAGCGCGTGGCTTCCTAGCCGCCTGCATGGCCGCGGGCCACCGCTGCAGCGCCGCATGGGGGGGGGGGGCGCGGCTGGCGGGCGCCGAAGCGGGGCCACCGGAGAACCCGCCAGTCACTGCGGGGAGCGGCGCCCGAGGGCGCCCATTGCCCACCCCACCGGGCCTCCCCGCTACACCCGCCTCAGCCACGCGGCCTCGCCCGGCCCGGCCCCCGCCTCCCTCGCGTCTCACATCTTCATGGTGCCCTTGGGGCCCAGATTGGTCCGCAGCACGTCCTGCAGGCCCCGGGCCGCGCTGATGTTCACCGCCAGCGCCGCCTGGGCGCGGGCCACCTCGGCCTTCGGGTTGAGCGCCTTCACCGCCGACATGTCTGCAGCGAGGCCGGGAACAGAGAAGAAGCCACCTCCCCGAGTCGCCGCCCCTCCCTTCTAGAACACTCCGCCGCGCCAGCCTCGCCCGCCCGCATCCCATTGGCCAGGCCGAGCCTGCGGCAGTACCATTGGGCAGCTCCCTTGTCGTTCCTTCCCAGTGCCCGCCCCCCTGCAGAGGCCCTCGCGGCCGTTGGAAGCCGTTAACATGCAAATCATATTAATCACGTGCGCGTGTTTTTATGAATATACGCAAGATCTCATTAATATGTAAAATCTCACTATTGCACAATCATTGTACAGTTGGGACTCTCACTATATGAATAACATAATATGCACAAAATAGCTTCTCAGAGTTATAGCTATTTGTATGCAAATCAAATAATTAACATGCTTCTAGGTCATTAATGGGTATATTATGTAGTTAGCAATGACAATCCCCCAGTTACTAAAATCACAAACTCGCCTGAGTTAGAAATTAGTCATTTTTTTTAAATAGTGGATTAATATTTAAATTAGCTCAATTAATAACAGATAAACTCAATATTTCAAACAGTCTTCTTTGCTCTTAGTGCTACTGCTATACCCTTGATGTTCTGCTCAGAGTAATAAACAAATGTCCAGTATTGCCAGTCCCCAACGTTCAAAAATCATGAGTCAGGCTCCAAAAAACTGAGATCTGCTTGAAAATCCTGAGATTTCAAAAATAATAAAATTAGAGGTTTCAGAGTAGCAGCCGTGTTAGTCTGTATCCGCAAAAAGAAGAACAGGAGTACTTGTGGCACCTTAGAGACTAACAAATTTATTAGAGCATAAGCTTTCGTGGACTACAG